TCAGCCTTCCTGCTCTGCTGATGCTGCTTGGCCTGCTGTGTTCATCCAGCTCTACACCTTGTTATCTCAGATTCTCAAACATCTGCAGTTCCTACTATCTCCTTTGAGAGTATTCTTCTTCTTCTGCCCTGAAGCTGAAGCCTTGCTATACATTGTCCAGTAACTTGCCTATGTAGCCAATGTTCATGAAAACCTCAATCGTTGGAGAAAAGTAAAAGGAAAATACAGAAGTGAGATCATTGAAGCCAAATACATTCGAACTTCTTTCAGCATCACTTCCAGCAGAGACTTCTGTATTGGGATCATAAATGGCTACAGTGACTAATTTGGCTCAGACCAGCTAGCTCAGCACAGATCAGAATTATAATCAATTACAGTCCTTACTTTTTGGTCTTTGTTACTCACTACAAAAACTCACTGAGCCGTTAACTGATTCTTCCTAATGTTAGGAGTTTCATAATTATACTAAAATTGTTAGAAGTAAATATTATAACCTAGCCTAAGTCTTGAATAGAGTAGGGAAGGTAGAAAATGATCCCACATTGGATGTACTGCAGACGCAATTAACTTGAAAGATTTAGTCCATGATATTTAAATTCCAATAAATAATATTCAAATTGCTACCATGCAAGACAAATTTTCTACTTTACTTGCTTCTTTACCCAATTAAAATAATGACAACTGGAAACAGGCTTACCTCCATAACTTTAAGCCTGCAGTGAACTAAAAAGAAAATCACATGGTATTTCCATGTTGAATAGAGATTTAACTTTTGAGATTTGCATAGTTTAAATTTGTCCTTTTCTAAAAAAAATTCAAAGTATGTCATAGAAATCCACAAATAGCTTTTAAATACATTTTTGAAAAACTTGAACGACAGCAAAATGACAAACACCATCTCTTTTTGGGGTAGTATGAGGCATATTCTGCTCAGGGGTGAAAATCGAAGGAAGAACAGGCCTTTGCAGTGATCAGCCTAATCTGGAAAGACTGAAGTTCGGGAAAATACATCTGATAGCATAATCCAAAATTCCTCAGCTTTGGTACAGTTCTTTTAAATCCCATTACAAACTAAGCAAGAACCATAAGAAATCCAGTGTTTCGAAACTAGGTCATCAGAGTTTCCATCAAGAGAACCTGATTAGCACCATCTAAACCTCAAACTCCAAGTGGTAACATTTAGTTATCCCTAACCCAACTTTATGATTACAATTTAATTGATCAACATTTTAAAGGCCTAGCTCAAGTATAGAACATAAGTCATTCATGCCTAATTAGAATTTGTTGAAGAAAAAATAGTGGGGCTTAGGTACTTTTAGTGGCCATAGAATGGCTGCAAAGTAGAAAATTGAATAGAGAAATCAGTCCTCTTCAAAATATATTTACAGCTCTATCTTAGGACAATAATAGGACAAAACAGTTTGATGAGAACCAATAAAGGAAGAAAGGAATCATTTACATTTCCTTTTCATAAGCAGTCAAAAATATTTCAGACATCACTCTTCTTCTGACAATGTCACCAAAAGCAACAACCCATCATTCCTCCTGCTACAAATTTTGCAGTTGAAAATTAAATTCATACTGGAATTATGCTTAGTTATTCGGTGGCTGTGATAGTGGGGTAGCAAATGACAGCAGAGGTCAGGAATAAGAAAATGACAAATAAATTTATGGTCAGGAATTTGTCTCAAAGCATTGAATAATTAAGCTGAAGAAAAGCACTGAAATCTTAATTTAGGTAAAAGATGTACAAATGACAGATGGGGAAGGGGGAATGATATGGCATTGACTGCAACCATTTTGCTGATAAACTAATCTCACCTGTACAGTTGTCCAGGCATCATAGGAATTGTTAAGAATTCAAGCATAGATTGATGGCATTTTAAAAATAAAGAGAGTGAAAATATTCTAAAGTGAACAGAAATCCTTTATACCTACACTTAGATATTAATTACAGGATAATAAAGTACCATTATAGACAATCATTTTGGATTTTAGAATAACCAATCAATTAGGACAATAAGAGATTAGAAGTGCTGACACACAGATATCCCTACAATTCAGGAATTAATGGGATTTACAAACAAATTTATAATAATGCCGTACTTTTTTAAAATTAAGGCAACTGATCTGTTGTGAATCACTATAGAAGATGCAACCCTGGTTCAAATTAATTGGCTTTTTGTTTAAAATTAAGAACATCATTTAGTATTCTTTTTGGGTAAAGTTTCCCCAATTGCCCACCAGAAAAAACAAATTGTGAGCATAAAAGAAGATAGTATAGGCAATTAACTGTAGCATTGTTTGATATCTGTTCATTCCAATGAGTTTTCAGTGTGTGTTTTTGAAGAAATACAGATTTGGCATTATACACAATGTGCAAGTTAACACAGTATTAGACAGATTTCAATTCACATCAACTAGATGTTGTGCTGTAAATACGAGGAGAGCAAGTACAAATTATGGATTAAGATCAGCACAACTTAAATCGGTTTAACTGGTGGGCTGTACGGTATTCTGAAGAGTGCCGAATGGGAGGACAAAAAGCAATGATCATGATGGGTGTTGAACCAGTAACTGCACAATACCCTTTAGTTTGAAACATATACTATCAGTCCTCTGGTCACAAAATTAGTCTCGTTGATCTTTCAGTTTTGAGTAGAATTATTGTCTCATTACAGACAGATTGGCCTAGAAATGGGCTTAAAAAATTCAGATACCAAAAGTTTTCCCCGTTCAGTCACCCGAAATAGCAAGAACAACTTTTGTCACATGTATTTGTGGCAAAGAGGTATACTGCTGAGTACTACAAAATCTGAGCAAACCGGATTTTACCAGAAAATGTAATCTCAAACAAATACACAAGCCGTCAACCAGATTATCTTTTCATAACAGGGTTTCCTTACATGCAAATTATGAAAGGGTGCATAACAGAAGGAATTTAGTTAGTGGAATGATAAAATCAGTTTATAAATGTGAACAATTACCTCAATGAAATTTAAAAAGTCAGATTGTCATAAAAAAGAACTACACTCAATCATTCTCTCACAAATATTCCAACTGCTTTCACCCTCCTATAGCAGACTATTCCTAATTGTTTCGGATACAAATTATATCCCAAACATAATTTCTTCTGTGGAAAACTTCTATTTTCCACCATCATGTAATTGACATTCAAGCAACAGCTTCGAAGGAAATTTGGGAATATCTCTACAATTTTTCTCTCTCTCTCTGGAGCAAGACTGAATGAGATCCAGCACTAGAAACTTAATGAGTTGGACAAAGTTAGGAGAAAAAGGATTTCCAATGAGAAATGCAAACCTTAGATCAGTCTTGATTAAATTTGGCAACTATACTCCTCCCAGCTCCCAGAAACTGCAATTAGCTTAATTAGAACTTTTAAAAATTCAAAATGTATTTGTATATTATGAAAGAAGCATGTTTTCCTCCAACTTCTTCATCCAGGTGTTTTGAGTACTGGGAAGTTGGGGACTAAAAAAGGAGGTTGACTAAAATTCACTTGCCTTAACTGTTCACATTCTGAAATTCTCCAAAAATATTCAAAAATCATACTCTGGTGTTCAACATATCAGTGCATATGGCACAAAGGTAAACAGGTCTAAAGCAATGGTATATTTGGTGTCAGCTCCTTTTGCTATACATTTGAGATTAAGTTTGACAGTGCATTTACCATGGGTTTAAGTAGTTAAGTTTCTCCAACTATTATTCATAATCATGTGCTCAACATATGCAACACAAGTTCACATTCCTTTTTGCAACTTGCCTTCATTCAAACAGGACCAGTGGATTTGTGTCTGCACTTAATTCTGACAAAGATTTAAAAGCCAGCTACAGCTAACTGCCTACCAAAGGTTCAAGGCTGGTTAATTTATTTAAAAGCTCATCAGTTGGCATACAAAACTTTCCACTCAAAATCCCCTGCTAGCACTCCTGTAAAAAGTTTGTTTATAAAAATAGATGCTCTGTGAAGCCCACTTCAGCAAAAGGTGTAAAACTCTTTGGTAGGGTACCTAAAGATCAGGTGCCTGTCTGCACACTGGCCCCTCAATCCCTACCCTTAATCGTAAAACAAAAGTTTGAAGCGCTAAACAGCAAATTAACTTTAAAACAGAAAAATAACAAAAACTAAACAAAATTGGAGCAAAACAAAACAAATTTAATGATCATAAATGCAAAAGTAAAATCAATAGTCAAACAAAACAAAGGAAACAAAATGAAAAGAAATTATATAACAGAACATTAACTAATTTCAAAGGCAGTTGTAAAAACTTTTAGATTAGTCTTCTTTAAATCTATTTTAACAAAGCTTTGTGTTGACAGCTAACCTGCATGAGAAAAACATTTAAGTACTTTCTATTCTGATGCATTATCCCAACTTAGCATGTCAATTATGCAAAAAAAACAAAAACTTTTTTTAAAAAAAGAAATGGAGTTCACTAGGTGGGGTGCAACAAACTTACAAATGTTCAAAGGTTTAAACCTCCCAAGATAATATTACAAGCAGAGTAATTCTACACTACACTTCCCAACCAAGATGCTCCTTTCACCCAAAAATTTGGCAAATGTACAAGTAAACCTGCTCAATTTTTGTACTGACACTCTAAATCTTATTAACATGACTCACTGTTATACCCATGTCAGGAATTAAAATTGAACTGTTTTGCACCTACCTCCACATTTCATGATAAGAAAGGCACAGAGGTGCCATTTATACTTATCTACAGAAAACATATTACAGCCATGGTTCTGAGGTCTGGATGAACTTAATATGCAACATATTAATCTTACAGGCACAAATCATCATTTTAATTCAAAAATGTTTACTAATGCATTAAACCTGTGAGAGCAAGTAGCGCATTTATGAAATTGCTTTTCCAATGCAAGCAGGAATCAACCAAGAGCTGGTTGCTAGTCAACTGATTATATTAAAATGGAATGAATATTGCAATTTAAAGAGTATTATTTTAAATCCATAGACCTACAATGTAGTTCAGTATTTTGCCCTCCTTTTTTGGGTGCTTAGGAAGAAAGGAGGGGACTATGGAAGGAAATGTATCAAACATTTGAACATTTCATATTAGTTGCATCCCAGAGTACTAATATAAAAAATCCTTTTCACTTTTTCTTCTAGAATGGTAGACAAAACACGTCTGTCACAACAATAAGAGTTGCTTTACACTAGTGGACTTATTTACCTTTCAGCAGTGTATTTCTAATCAAATGCTTACAAATGAACACAAGCTTTAAATTACACCTTGTGTGACTTGCTGGTTTTAAAGGAGACCTGGAGAATTTTGTCTCCGAGGCGATAGCCATTCAGGCTAGCGATGGCCATGGCAGCCTCCTCATAGTTTGTCATGGTTACAAAGCCAAACCCTTTGCATTTGTTGGTGTTGAAATCACGTATAACTTTGACATTAGTCACGGCTCCGAATGGGCCAAACATCTGCCACAGGATTCCCTCATCTGCGTCTTGACCCAGGTTGTAGATGAAGATGCACCAGCCAGATGGATTGTGACCACCAACGTTCACACCTGACAAACTACTCATATTGTCAACACTCATCGGCGAAAACCTAACAAACAAACAAGAAAACATTAACTTTATGTCAAAAGCTTCAAAAGGGACAAAACAAATGAAAATTAGTAAAAAATCTGCATAGCCTGGCTTGTTAAAAACAAAAAGATAATTAAATTCTTGTTTCAGGGAATTGGGAAACCTACTGGTATTAAGCTCTTTGATTTAGTTTTAGCAGTACTGATCCACCTAGACAAACACAGGAATTAACAGGTCACCCAGAGCACAAATCCTTCATTTAAAACTGTTAAAAGCATTTTATGGTACTGCAAAATCCTACACTGTGTTGCAACAAAACCCTATTAAGCATTTTTAAAGGAGCATAGCCAAATAATACCAAACAATACTAAATTCCTTTCTATTAGATAACTAATACTTTATTCACGCAAACACAAAGAACTGATTTATAAACTTCGCTTTTCTGCAATGAAAACTAGAGAATCCCAAAATGTAAAAGCATCCAAACTTCTATTGAGTACCAGCCAAAAACTGAAATCACAAAGTATTGGTAAACGTGCCTAATAATAATCCTGAGTGACATTTTTTACAAAGATGGCACCTAAACAAATCCATAGTAACTGGGCAGATTTGTAGCACAAAAATAGCTAATAGCAGACTTGTTTGACAAGACAATTAAGAAAACATTTTCAGATGTCATTTGCAACTTGAAAACTACACAAATTTTGGAATATGTAGTACATCTAAATTAAAGGGAGATGTCTAGATCACCACATTTTCTTTTGCCCCATATCAGTGCAATCCTGAGCTATCAGAGAATCTTGTAGCATTCACGAATGGTGGATACATCTTTACGTACCCAATTTTATTTAGCGAATGCAAATCCCCAAAGCTAAGCTCGTGTAGAGTTTAAAATCTACAACTTAGCCTGTAGTGCAGATACTTTCAATAAGATGCACTGTCGGTGATGTCCATTCAGACTGGTGGAGGCCTCATCTCGGGAGGTAGACCTTCCTCATATTAAGCCTGTTTAGCAAGGACCACTCTCACTATGGTAGTTCAAAGCCTGCCATTCAATAGGTGAGGTTTGTCACAAGGAATTTATTAATCCCATCCAGTCAGACATGCAGCATTGTAATCATTTGAGAAATATCCTCACTTAAAGGATAAAGCAATAGACATCATTGCCTGTCCCATCACGTGTCTGCTTGATATTTTTAATCTGCCTCACTGGGAGATTAATTTTTTATGCCAGTTCTGTAAGCAAATCCTTTGCCCTCAAAGCCCTTACTTATAGAAGTGAGAAGGAATGTTGTTGGCATTTGGACAATTTACTTAGCATTATCCAAGCTAGAAAGCCACTGAGTTCAAGGATTGGTATCCAATAATTCCTCCTCAACACTGCACAAAAGCTATTTTTAGTCATTCATTTCCTCAAAGATAGTGCTGTCATTACATCTCAGACTCGATAGAAATGATGTTGTCACCTCACCTTTTCCCCATGGTAGCCGAGACAAGCAAACCAAAGAGGCAAAAATGAGAAAAATAAAGGGGAAAATGGAGAGAGGAAATACAGACATGGTGTGGGTTCAAAACTCCAAAGACCATAATATATACCGGGTGATGCCATGTGTTGAATGATGATTCACCTATATCAGAATGGACAGGATGGTTTTAATCATTTGTACATCATTTAAGAGTTGTGAAGAGTGGATCTAGCCTACTGCTACAAACCTTTGGATCTCATTCCTTTCTGATCATGCCCGTTTTGTTTCAAGCATTCATTTTTAAAATGAGCAATGAGCTAATGACAAATTTATTTATAATATGAACACGAATTTAATAAATTAGTTAAGTTAATCAGGGTCCAAACTGATGTTCATTGAGCAAATATTAATTAACGAATAGCCAGTACATCAGCTGATCCAGTTATAAAGTTTGGTATTTTATTCCACAGAGTCCATGATTAATTCTGACAGGGAAAGTGGTAAAACGGTGCCTCAGCCCGAGAGTCTGGAAGGAATAAGGTCATTTTTTGGCACTAAATGAATCACTGTATGAAGTAACCCTGAAATAAAAATGGTTGAAATCCATAAAAGGTCAAGCAGTCCTTCAGGTTACTTCCTGTTTTCTCCCCATCGATACACAAGAGTAATTCAGAATTAGCACCAGTGACAGCGACAGAACATACCTGAATCTCTGTGCCTGATGGTGCAACGGTCCTGGAAAACGCCTCGCTGGTGAATGATACAGCTGTGCCAGCAGGGATGCATTTGTTTTCTGGTTGGGATTGGCTGCAAGTTTTACTGTAATTGGTTCAACAGCACCAGGTGGTTTGTGCCCATTCAGATTGTTAATAGCTTCATCTGCTTCAGATTTCCGGTCAAAGCGAATAAAAGCCACTCCCCTGGACATACCTGAAAACAGATGAGAATTACAAAACCACTTTGCTACTGAGAACAGAACGACAGAAGAAAGTAGAGTTAAGTGCTCACAATCCATTTGAGACTGAAATTTAAAATGTAGCCTGTTGATTTGCTCCAATGTGTATTACGTTATATTCTTTAATGCTATCCTCAGAAATGTAGTCATAGCTATCGCCTACATGGGATGGGGAAAAATTAGCAAAGAGAATAAAAATAAGGTTTTGAAATATGTAACTCAGAGCATTTATTGGTGACTGAGAGATTGACACAATTAAATAACATTTGAATGTTTAACACTTAAGATTGTGTTAAACATGAAGGAAACTGACCTGCACTTGGAAGAAACTGTGGAACCAGATGAACCACTCCTGGCCAAGAGGGATAAGGGCAGGAAAACAGACAGGGGTGCATAGTCCAGAGATTTTTAACACACAAGACTAAGCAAGCTTTTAAACATGTACACCAGACAAGGTTAGTTTAGGTCCACTTTTCTGTTGTCATTAAAGCCTTAGAGTTACAAATATAATTTATGTAAATATTTACACATAGAATCGGAGTACAGAAGAGGCCCTTCAAGCCACTCAGTCTGCACAGACCAAAGCTACTCTAAATCTACATTAGTACCACTTTCCAACAGTTGGCCTATAGCCTTGAATGTTATGGCATTTCAAGTGCTCATCCAAATACTTTTTAAGAGATTGAGAGGTCTCCTGCTTCAACTATCCTCCCAGGCAATGCATTCCAGATTCTCACCACTCTCTGGGTGAACTATGTTTTCCTAAAATCCCCTCTAAACCTCCCGCCTTTCATGTTAAAATGATGTCACCTGTTACTGATCCCTCAACTAAGAAGAACAGCTGTTTTCTATCCACCCTGCCCGTGCCCAAATAATATTGATAGTTAATAAAGCAAAAATATTACCCACCTGTGACTTGGTCAACTAGAACACGAGACGTGATGATGCGACCATATCGTCCAAAAAGTTGCTCCAAATCCTTTTGAGTCATTGTCTTTGGCAGACCACTCACGTACAGGTTTGCATCCTTAATGCTGTCCGAGCTCGGCCGGGCATACGAAACCTTTCAAAAATATCACGCTTTAAAATAATTTCAGGTTCATTGATGTGAGCAGTTTACTAAAACATGATACTAGATATGTAAAGCATTATATCTATTTGATTTGTGAAGCACAGGTTTCATCCTGAAATCAGACTGTACCTGAATAGCACATTTTCAGCTGCAAAATATTAGGTGATAGTGGAAAATGTGGAAATAACTTAAAAGCATACTGAGAAGGGATGTTCATTTTTCCATACATCATGATAACAATACTTGATTCTAGTGAAAACACTCAACTGGAAACTTTGCAGATACACTTATTGATTTAATTGACAATATTAACATATTCATTGGAGTATTTCTTTTTGAAGCACACATCCATGGATGATTTCCGTTATAATTAGTTTGTTTTCAAAATACACAGTACACGGCCACTTTTCTCCTTAAAGCTACATATATTTGACGTTGGGACTCAAATGTCGAGTTCCAGATGACAGGAAGGTCTCTGGAGGTGAACAAAAACAAAATCAGCCATGGTAGCATTTCGAATCATAGAATCCCTACAGCGTGGAAGCAAGGAATTCGGCCCATTGAGTCAACACTAACCCCTCGAACAGCATCCCACCCAGAACCACCTCCTTACGCTATCCTTGAACCCTAAATTTCCCACGGCCAATCCACCTAGCCTGCACACCTTTGGACTTTGAGAAGAAACCGGAGCACCCAGACGAAACCCAGGAAAACATGGGAGAACACAACAGTCACCCGAAGGTGAAATCGAACCCAGGTTCATAGTGCTGAGGCAGCAGTGCTAACCACGAATCACTGTGCCGCTTTTAGATTTTCCTCCGATTTCAAAGGATCTTCAAACATAAGGTCAAATGCATTACTGGAGAGAGCCCCAATGGTGTCTCTTGAGGTTTCAATACTCACTAAAAGCTCTAATTTATAAACTACTAAGAGATTTTATCTTGTGGCTTGAAGGTAGGAGATGGAGGGTGGTGGTGTTTTTCAGACTGGAGGCCTGTGACCAGCGGTAGATCCGTGCTGGATCCACTGCTTTTTGTGAATGTATATAAACGATTTGGATGTGAACATAGGAGGAATGGTTAGTAAGTTTTGTAGATGACACCAAAGTTGGTGGTGTAGTGGAGAGTGAAGAAGCCTATCTCGGTGTACAACAAGACCTTGATCAGCTAGGCCGGGGAGTGGCAGACGGAGTTTAATTTAGACAAATGTTAAGTGCTGCGTTTTGGTAAGGCAAATCAGGGTAGTACTTATATGCTTAATGGTAGGGTGCTGGGTGTGTTGCCAAACGAAGAGATCTTGGGGAGCAGGTTCGTAGCTCCTTGAAGGTGGAGTCACAGGTAAACATGGTAGTGAAGGCAGCATTTGGTACAATTGCCTTTATTGATTAGTGCGTTGACTATAGGAGTTGGGACATCATATTGCAGTTGTACAGGGCATTGGTTAGACCACTTTTGGAGAACTGCATGCAATTCTGGTCTCCCTGATGCAGGAAAGATGTTGTGAAACTTGAAAGGGTTCAGAAAACATTTACAAGGATGCTGCCAGGGTTGGACGGTTTGACCTATAGGGAGAGGCTAAATAGCCTGTGACTATTTTCCCTGGAGCATCGGAAGCTGACGGGTGACCTTATAGAGGTTTATAAAATCATGAAGGGCATGAATAGGCTGAATAGCCAAGGTCTTTTTCCTAGGGTAGGGGAGTCCAAAACAGGAAGGGCACAGGTTTAGGTTGAGAGGGGAAAGATAGAAAAGGGACCTAAGGGATAACCTTTCCACGCAGAGGGTGATGCGCGTGTGGAATAAGCTGCCAGAGGAAGTAGAGGAGGCTGGTAAAATTACAACATTTAAATTACAACATCTGGATGGGTACCTGAACAGGAAAGGCTTGGAGGGATATGGGCCGAATGCTGGCAAATGGGACTAGATTAATTTAGGATATTTGGTCGACATGGATGAGTTGTTTCCGTGTTGTACGACTCTTTGACTTAATGACTCAGTGGTGAAATTTTTTACAACAGATTGATAGCCAAATACTTGAGCACCATGACAGATCAGTTGATGAACATCATCCAGTATGGAATTAAGCAGAAATTGGTATAATGTGCGACTAACTTATTGATCTCAGTGAGGGCAGCAGCAGCTTGCTACTACTGGCTTCACCTCTGGGCTAGGGTAAAGGACAAAACACACACTGAACAGCGCAAATCAACAACTTTCTTTTTGGGGGGTGGCAGGTGTAAGAAAATATTAAACATTGATATACTGTGAAACATTCATGAAGTTATGGCTGTAAGGGTCTTACCTTTATAGTTTTTGATTGCAGCCTCAGACCATTAAGTGTGTTAATAGCTCGTTCTGCATCTTTGGCAGCCACATAATTCACAAACCCATATCCGAGGCTGTGGCCTATTTAAAAGTGAGCATTTGGTCAGCAACATTGCAACTCCCTGGTAGGAAAAACTGTTATTTTATCATATGCTATTTCAGTTTAAACTATAATGTAAACCTAAAGTTTTGTTGGCTATGTTAAGCAAAAGCAACTGCTTACGTAAATAGGTGCGGAAATAAAGTACTGTCAGTTACGTGATTTCTGAAGTCCATTTATCCCCGTGGTATTCTGTTATCAAAGCATACCTTGCAGAAGGCCCCAAACTAAAAATCCAGCCCCAGTTTAACTTAAACCAACAACTGAGTCACATGCAAGAGCCATATTAACAGAATGAAAGTCTTTCATGCAATGCCAGAACTTCTATAAAAAGCCAAAATGCTGTTGACCAATAGTTGAAAGACAACACAACGCCTGCTCCCTCAAAATCCGCTATGCAAATTTTTATCTTGCCAACATGCATAGCATATAAATTGCACTGTGATAAGAACCAGTAATATAACACTGCGCATTGCACCAGATTAAGACAAGCGTGTTTAGTAGTTAACCAATTTAACATTAAAAAAAACTGCAGAACACACCCAGTTAAGGAGAAAAGTACTGATATATAGTTTACTCATTGCACATTTATAAGAAAGAAATTGGCTTTTGCATTAAACTCCAAAATGCCACATTATCCTGAAATTTAAATTATTTAATTATTGCAACTAACATTTTACTAATATTCTTTCAAAAATTAGGTACATTTTATATACATTATAGACATTGCTAAGTATACCAGATTTTCAGTTTTTATTTCAGATTTTCAGCATCTGTAGAATTGTATTTATAAAAATGTTCATGCAGCAGCTGAGCATTATTCTGAACCTCCTTTCCATCAGTTTCTACCAAAGAATTGAATACTATTTTCCCTTAGCTATTAAGATTCCATTTTACACTTCCTATGTCCAGCTCATAGCAACCTTTGTGGAGGCTTGGATGAATACTTGCCCCGTTCCTGGCCAAATGAAAGAAAAAGGATGGAGGTTCATTATATCTGGTAGGCAGTCTAGAGTCACCACAAAAGGAACAGTGACTACTGAAAAAGAAGAATTAACAACCCAACAGAAAGGGCTACTTGTCATCTTATTTGGGAGCAAATTTAAACAGAAGACAACTATCTGGGAAGTGCAAAACAAAAAGGAACAAACATACTTTACACACTGCTGGAATTAAACAAACTGCATTTTATAAAACCTCCATTTTAACTTAGAAATTTACTCTGAAATAGCATACGTTTGATCCCAGATCACCAATAAATTGAGAAAATCACAAAGAAATGAGTGAAACAGGTGAGATACTCTGACCTCAAGTCAAAAACCTGGATGGTTCAAAGGATTGGTGCATTGCTTGCTCTGACACTAAACACAATTCCTCTCCTCTGTCCTATCTTATCTGCAACCCCACTCCAAACTTTGGGCGGCTCTATTCAGTCGTAACCAAAGCTTACAACGCTGTTTTCCTATAAACCTCTCCTGCACTTCCTCCACCCCACCAAATCACAGAAACAAACATTAGGCCTGATATGAACAGACTTCACTGTGATCTCTGTTGTTCCCTCTCCCAATGGCTCAACAATCCAACAAATGTCTCCTCATATTCAAAAGTGAAGAGTGGTCAACTAGATTATCCTGTGTCAAAGACTTTTGCCATTGTTGCCTCGGCTTCATACACCTTATAATTTTTATCTGTTCTACACTAATTTATCTTTTTCAGTACTAAGACTTATTGAAACTTGCGTGCTAATCCACTGTTCCGTTTAGGTAGCAATACCATAAACAGCAAATATTTAGATATAGATATTTACAGTGAAACTATAATTATGGTTTTTTAAAAGGCAAATCCACACTGTAATTCAACATAGTACTGATTTTAAATTATCAAGCATACTGGTCTTAATAAAACAAAGGTTTAAAATTTTAATTAATTTTGCAATATACATGCTCAATGGCTTTTTTTTTTGCTTGGAAGGGAGACATAGCAAAGTTAGGAGTAAAACATGTATTGGCTTTGAAATGTCTTCTAATTGAAAAGAGGACAACATCAAACAACATCAACATCAAACATCAAATAAAGTTAGTGCCTTAACCAGGCAGTGTTGGACATCACAGTACATCCAGTGAGATAAGAAAAAGTGTAGGAAGCAAAGGAAGGAGTGGGAGGGAAAGTGGTAATCTGGCATTTTCTGCAATCTCAGGACTAAAGAAAGTCAGCTCGTCATTCTACTTGGATTTTCAAACCTTGTCACTATAATCATGTAATCTAGGATTAGAGTTGCCAGTTCCCTCTTCCCTATTCACAACATAGATCACAGGGCTGCTTTCCTGACACAGTGGCAGCATCCCTAACTCTGAACCAAGAGGCCATGGTTCAAACCGCACTTGACTAGAGCTGTGTAATATCATGTCTGAACAGGTTTATTAGAAAATATCTAGAACACAAGGGCCAGAATAGATTCCTGAAGGCCCAAATGAAGGAAACCTCCTCTGTGGGTCCTTGATAACACAAATTCCAGTTTTCAACCAATTCAACTGACTTCAAATGACATCAAGAAATAGTTGAATAACAACAGATACTGTAAAGACTACAGGTCCTGACAATACTCTACTATTAGTACTTAAGACTTGTGCTTTAGAATTAGCTGGGTTCCTAGCCACACTGCCCCAGTACAGTTACAACACTGCTATCCATCTGGAGATGTGAAAAATTGCTCAAATATGTCCTGTGCACAAAAAGCAAGATAAGTCCAACTGGGTCAACTACAACCCGATCAATCTACTCTTGATTATTAGCAAAGTGATGGAAGAGGTCATAAGAACATAAGAAATAGGAATAACAGTAGGTCAGCTGGACCCTCAACAGGATCATGCCTGATCTGACATCCCGCATATTCACTTTCCTGCATTTCCCAATAACCCTTTATTCCATAACTGATCAAGAACTTATCTATCTCGGCCTTAAACATACACAAGGATTCTGCTGCCACAGTTCTCTGTGGCAAAGAGTTCTGAAATCACTCAACCCCCTCAGAGAAAAAATTCTCACCTCAGTCTTAAATTGCCGTCTGGTCCTAGATTCTCCCATGACAGGAAAAGATCATCTCAGCATTTACCCTGTAAAGCCCCTTAAGAATCCTATATATTTCAATGAGATCACCTCTCATTCCTCTAAACTACAGTGAGTACAGTCCTAACCCATTTAACCTACGCTCATAAGATAATCCTTTCATACCAGAGATCATCCTCACAAACGCTCTCTGAACTGCCGCCAATAAAATGATATCTTTCCTTAAATAAGGGAACCAAAACTGCTCTCAGTACTCTAGCTGTGGTCTCACCAGCATCTTGTACAGTTTTAGTAAGCCTTCGGTACTCATATACTCCAAATCCCTTGAAATGAGGCCAACGTTCTATTAGCCTTCCTGATTACCTGTTGCACCAGTGCGCTAGCTAGGTTTCATGCACAATTCTATGTTGCAGCTTTCTGTAGTTTTTCTCCATTTAAATAAGTTCTTTTGTTCTCCCTTTCAAAATGAACAATTTCATATTTTCCAACATTATATTCCATTTGCTGACTTTTTTTACCCACTTGCTTATCCCATCGATATCTTTTTGTAAACTGTATCATTGTCATATCTGCCTTTCCACTTATTTTTGCGCTTTCTGCAAATCTGGCTACAATACATTCATTCCCTTCCTTCAACTCATTAATACACATTGTAAACAGTTGCTGTCCCAGCACTGATCTCTGTGAACCCCACCGGGCACATTTCACTATCCTGAGGATACCTTATCCCACTCGCTGTTTCCTGTCCATGAGCCAATTCACTATTCATGCCAATATACTACCTCCAAAACTGTATGGTCATATCTTTTGATCAACTGTTATGAACAGTGCTATCAAATGGCACTTCCAAAGGAGTGAACTGGTTATTGACACACTGTTTAGTTTCTCCTAAGGCCACTTGGCTCCTGACCTCATTTCAAACATAGACAAAAGAGCTGAACTTGAGAGGGGAGGCAGGAGTGACTAACCTTGACATCAAGCAGCCCTAGTATTACTGGAGTGAATGGGAATGGCGATAACTCTCTTTTCATTGTAATGATACCTAGTACAAATTACGATGGTTATGGTTGTTGGAAGTAAATCATCTCAATCTCAGGACATTACTGCAGGAGTTCCTCAGGGTAGATATTTTCTTAAACAACTAGCTCAAAGATTTCATTACACATCTCTGGAGGTCGGGGTGGGGGCTTGAACCTGGGCCTCCTGGCTGAGAGGCAGGGACTCTACTACTGAACAACAGGAGCCCTCAGTTCCTCAGGGTATTGTCCAAGGCCCAACCATCTTCAGTTGCTTCATCAATGACTGTCCTCCATGATAAAGTCAGAAGTGGGTTGTTTGCTGTTGGTTACATCATGTTCAGCGCCATTTGAGACTCTTCAGATGCTGAAGCAGCCTGTGTCCATTTCCAAAAAAAGGAGTTTTGTGATTACTAAATCCTTCACCATCAAAATTCTATTGTAACCACTGGCCAGAAGCTGAAATGGACCAACAGAATAAATATCATGTCTACAAAAGCGGATCAGAGGCTACGAATTCTGCAGTGAGTAACTCGTCTTATTTCCCCAATGTCAGTTCGTTGTTAGGACAGAGATAGACAGCTGAACCAAATCAGATTTTTTATCTCCATATTTGCAACAGTAAAATCTAAACCTTCAAAAACCCTCAAAATTGACCGCAATAGTTGCTAACCAGACTTTCTAAATAATTAATCACAGACGCTGAAATAATCAATGCTGCACTGGTCTGTAGCTTAAACAAAAGACTTAGCAACTTATTAAGAACAAAAAGTAATTTTGCTTTGCAAAACTTAAAACAAAATAATCTAATTGATGCCTTTGTTTAAACTCAATAACCTTGGTTTTCAGCCCCAATCATGCAAGACAAACAAACACAATTAAGCGATAAATAAGAGAAA